TATATATATATTTATACATTATTATACCCAAGGATCAGACATATAGGTAGTATGGAAGTAGTAATCTTCATTCCATGCCACCCTTCCATCCAGAGCTCCCTCCAGACAAAGAAAGACCTTACCAAATGACAGGATCCTCAACAAGGAACACCCCGGTTCCCAACCATACCCTACTGCACACCCGGTAGAACTCTGCTCGACATCTGTATGTATGTATGTATGCCCTTATGTAAGTACATCCTACATATACATCAGCCTGTATGCATTTTTTTTTGTTTTTTTTTTTTTTTTTGTGTTTCGTTGAAGAAGAAAAAAGTAAAATAAATAAATAAATAAATAATCGAATACTTGTGAAATGCATAAATACCTAATTCTAAATCCATGTACATACAAACGAGTCTAGGCTCGATCCGGGTAGGCCGGGGAAATCCCGCCAAAGTTCAACTTTACTAAGTACTTAGTGTGGCTGATCCGGTTTGGTTTAGGTTGCCTTTGAGTTTCGCTTTCCACTTACCTTATCGTGGAGGCTGGGGTTCGGTGTACAGACGTTCTTTTATTCCGTTGTTTGTTTTTGTTTTTGTTTTTGTTCCTTTCATTGTGTTTTCTTCAAAGAAAACATGGTGGAATTAAGGTCGAGAGATTCGGTACAAAGAAGACGTTGGAAACCTAGTTGTGAAGAAAGAATTCTTTATTTTGCTGGCTGGCGTACTTTGCGATGCTGCCGACATGGTGTAACCTGGTTGGCCTCGAGAGGGTTCGGGAGGAAAATAAAAAGAAATTGGGAAATCATATGCATCTGAGGAACCCCAAAAAGTATCCAACTCAACAAAAACAAAAGGAAATGCGTCTCGCTCGTTTGGGCATGCGGTTCCTTGCCCTGAAGGGAATTGATCGTACGGAACTACTTGACGCTAATGGACATGACGGAGAACTAAAGCCGCAAGCGGTGTCTGTGTAACTGTGATGTGAATGGGAAATGGATTTAGAAACGAAATAATGGACATGGTCATAACCTGCATCAGAATCACCCATGAACGCTCTCTCAAACCCCGCAAGCCCGCCGAACGCCACAAGACTAAATGGAGGGAAACATAAAAAGCTAGAAAAAAAATATATATAAAATAAAAAAGGGAAACAAAACGCCATCATCCGGCCTGCCGCTTTTGGCTAAACAGTAATACGTCCTTGATGCAAGAGACCAACTGTCTGGAGGCCACTTGTTCCTTTGAACCGCGCCAAGAGCGACGATACTATGTCGCGGTACGTGTTCATCTGCGTCAATTTGAACCGTTGAATCTTCCCGCTCGCCGTGCGTGGAATCTCCTCCACGAAGATCACACCCCCGTCGAGCGCCTTGTAGCTGGCCAATTGTCGTCGACAGTACATGTACACCTCCTCCTCCGTCAACTGCATCCCGGCCGGCTGTCTCGCGCGGACCACGAAAGCTCGTGGCACTTCGGTGCTACCGTCTTTAGAAGTAACGCCCGTCACCGCTGCATCCTGGATGCCAGGATGCTTGAGGAGTACAGCCTCCAATTCGGCTGGAGCCACTTGCCAACTGTGAATTTATTAGCTTCTGCCACTAGTGCCTGGAGGGGGAGATGCCCAAAAACGGGACAACAAGATGATAAAGAAAAAGAAAAAGAAAATTGAAAACATACCCTCGAACTTTGATTAACTCCTTCGTTCGGCCGACAATGTAATATAACCCATTGTTCACATACGCCACATCACCGGTGCGGAACCACCCCTGCGCGTCCTTGGCATCATCTCGTCCTTTGTAGCCAGTAAGCACGCCGTTACCTCGCACAAACAGCTCCCCTGGCTTATTATCGTCCACAACCAGGTTGCCGTCTTGTCCAACCAGTCGTATCTCGTATCCCGGGACGAGCCGCCCAATACTTCCGCTATTGCCAGGTTCCCCGTAACGGTTTTGGAACACGACACCCACTTCGGTCATACCCCAAAGCTGGGATGCATTGGCATCGACATGGAGCAGTTCTTGGAACTGCTGCATGGAGGCCCCATCAATCGGAGCCCCCGCTACGCCAACGTATCGCAATGACTGAAGGTAGTCTGCAGCTGGGAATGCACAGCGATTGAAGGCATGAATCATCGCAGGTACCATATACGCCTCTGTGATCTGATACTGATATACAGCCGCCACATACTGGGCAATATCAAAGCGAGGCAAGATAAACAGTGGCTGTCCATATCGAATAGGGAAGATGTGTGTCCAGAGGGCACCAAAAAGGTGGAACATGGGCAGTGACATCAGGCGGGTCGCCTCATAGGGTACATCGTAATAAATGCTAAGGTGATGTGATACTATAGCGTGGTGAGATAGTATGGCAGCCTTGGGTAACCCTCCCGTGCCACTGGTGGAGAACATCGCTGCCGGCGTGGATTTTGCAATGGCCTCATCTTGGAAAAAGAGCCAACCGGTCTCGCCGTAGCCGAGGAGATGTGCGAAGTTCAGGTAGTAGTTGTCTCCACCGCGAGGCAGATATGGGGCAATGGCTGCAGCGTAGGTCAGAGGACCCGACAACAACAATTGGGCTACATGGCTTGTAGCAGCCTCGTCCACTAAGCACACTTGACTAGGAAGCATGCCTCGATCGGCCGAGACGTCGAGGACTGTAGGTAGGGCATCGCGCGTCGTAATGATCAACTTGGGATTACCCAATTCAAGGATGTGGTCTAATTCTTGGGGCTGACTGCGGGCATTCGAGCCCATGAACACACCGCCAGCACCGACAATACTGTAAAAAAGGGCGGGGTATAGGATCTACGGGATAAAGTGAGTCAGTATTCGTGAGGGGCAGTGGATAAAATTAAAATAGAGGGGAAAGCGAAAAATAAAAAATAAAAATAAAAAAAAATAAAAAATAAAAAAACAAAACAAAAGGGTTCCAGGGAATCGGATGTAGTGGGGATAAAAGACTCGGTGTAGAGACGGCGCGGTTTACGAATGTCGGATGACTTACGCTATTTCCCATGTGGACCAGAACGCAATCACCTTTTTGCACATGATGAGCCTTTAACCCAGCAATAAGGGTTCGCACTAATAATCGGAATTGGAGAGCATTGAGGGAACAGGAAGGGTGTTCAGCATCAATGAATAACGGCCGGTGTTCATTGTAGGGACGAGGGCCGCCGAAAGCAAAGGTCAATAAGTCGGTGTAAGAGCGGTTGTCCCCCAACTGGGGCGGTGCCAATGAAGACTCCCAGAGACCCATGGTTTAGTAATCGGGAGCGAAGGGGGTGTTTAGAGTAATAATCGGTGTTTTAATCATGGAAATCAAGAAAGGGCTCGTCGGAAAGTTGAGGATCGACGAAAGTAGGAAGCCCAAAGACAGAGGGCATCCTGGGTAATAAATATGTGGATGGTCATATCGCGCTTGAACAGATGTTTTTGTCATGCTGGAGACTTCACCAAATGAAAAAACACGAAACAAAGGAGGGAAAAAAAAATCCCCCAAATCCTCCTGGTGCATGGACGAGGAATTCCAATTTCCGGGGATGGGGCTGAGAATGACCATGATTTGGAATTTCATTTAGGGCGTGGCGCAAAACCCGACACATCGTCACTTCACTAACCTAAAGATTCCGCTGAGATCGAGGCGCTGATCTACTTTCCGCTCCACTGGCACTATGCGCCTCTTCTGTCGAATGAACGTTCGTAACGCCATGATTCAGATCTCGGCCGGTGGGTCCTCTTCATGGCCGACTAGAAAAAAGCAATGAACAGGCGAACAGCGTCCGCCATGCAGACGAACTAGGTTCCATGATCACCTGTCTCCATAACTTAATCACCATATTGGGCGGCTTCAGCCCGACGTGATCGTACAAGACCTCCGTTCTCCTCCCCCATTGGTCTATCGTCCTGTCATCGCGTAGGTCTTCACGGCACTTCCCACGCAGCTGAGCCACAGTGCGAACACCCCCGTCTAGCGAAGTACGCTATCGGCTTAAGTCGATGCAGCCAGCGTCTACTTTGGAACCGAGGAATGCCCCTCATGCTCTGATACCAATGCGCGATCCGTGTTGCATGCCCCCACTCGCTGAAGACCCATGCCAGGCTGACGTCCACGACCCGAAATCGGGAAATCCATGCATGAATGGCATTCTCAATGGATCTTCTGTCGTAGATTGGCGGTAAACGCCTGTTGAACCCCGCCCATCCAGCAGACAGGGAAGTGGATCGTGCTGCCCATACCCTGGTAATTCCTGGTACGACACCGTTACATTATCTCTGACTACACTAGTTCGAGACTAATGGGTCTCACCGTAGGGTCTAACGCATTGTTCAGTAAAACAGGAAGGAATCCGTGCGTCTTTGCATGTGCTTGGATCTACCTCTGGACCTGTCAAGCGATCCTCCTCTAGATCCCGCCTTCCCACTTTCTTGGATCCCGATTGTCCGAGTCTAGTATCAAGCTAGTGCCTCGTGCTTCTGCCTTAGGTCAGTGGAGTATCTGAATTCATGTGGCAAGTGCACTGCTCATGACTATGCCGATCAATTGAAGGAACCCTGATCCGGTAGTGTCAAACCACTTGGACGGGCTGCATCGGGGATTCCACTTATCTAGACCCGTCGGCTGAACCAGTACTAGACGGTGCGTCTAGTAGTACATCCCTAGGTCCGGAACCATAGTTGATGGAGACGGGCTGTGTGAAATGCCCTTGGGATGACTTCATTGGCCCTTGGATAGTTCAAAGCCCGGAGGGGTAGCTGAAAGTGAAGGGTCATGATGTCGTCTATGGTTGCTCATTGGCAGCAAACCATCGAGTCATAGTGGGACATGATCCCAACCATCGCGTCATTCATACCCACAAGGTTGGGAGAGAATGAAGCGAAAGTGGTACGTGAAGGGTGAAGCTGAATGAATGGTAATCAGGTGGGGAAGGCATCGTAGTTGTAGGCAAGTGAAGGAATGCGACTATCAAGTGATGGTCGCCTTTGTCTAATGTACGTTCACGCATTAGGAAACCGAGAATGGAAAAAGACGACTCGAGTCGATGAGGGGGAGCGTCATCATGTGCCCAACTCAAAAGGCTGCAGATGTCCTGCATGATGGAGCTTCACAACAATCGGATTCATACCGAGTGAATGCATTGTTCTGGTACTGGCTTTTTTTTTTGCTGGTACCTACCTTCCTTAGTCCTTCGTATCCTTTCTTCACCTGTCAGGCACCCTCCATTGTCACCTCAGATCCCTGTTTCATCCATTGATTCATTGATTCATTGATTCATTGATTCATTGATCCATCCATCCCTCTTTCTCTCCGCCAGTTTCACCACCATGTCGCTCTCCGAAAAGAGCGTCATCTCAATACCCCCTCCGGCCAAATGTGCGTCGGCTTCGACGAGCCCCAGAAGCACCCTGGTGGACGTCGAGACGACCATGCCGAAGTCTATCTCCGAAAAGACGGATCGTGCTCTGACACAGAGCCCTGATAGCTTTGACCTGGAAGCCCAGGTCACCAAGAAGAAGCCCTTCTCTTCATCTCGTTTTATCCTCCTCAACATCTACCGCCGTCTATTTACATTGGTCTTCTGTGCCAATGTGGCTGTCTTTATCTATGTTATGACCGCAGATCGCAAACTACTGGCATTGGTGAATGCAACCGCTGCCAATTTACTCGCATGCGGTCTGGCACGCCAACCTCTGGTGGTAAACGCCATTTTCCTCATTGTATGCTCAATCCCCCGATCCGCTCCCTTGAGACTCCGCCGTATTGCAGCAAAAGTATACCACTATGGCGGAGTCCATAGCGGGTGTGGAGTAGCCTCCTTTATTTGGTATGCAGGCTTCGTGGGCTTGATGTCGAAGGAATACTGGTCTCCATCGACTGGAAAGTCCACGATCTCCGTAGGACCAGTCGCCGTGGCCTACATTATTCTAGTCTTACTTCTCGCAATCATCGTCGTTGCTTACCCTGGGTTTCGGTTCAAGAAACATGACTACTTCGAATTGACACATCGTTTCTCTGGATGGTTGGTGGTGGCACTCTTCGTGGTACTGCTCATGCTCTTCGTCAATGATTTTAGCCGAGCTGCCCATCAATCATTCGGCCGCTTTCTTATCGAGCTTCCAGCCTTTTGGTTCTTGATGGTGACCGTTGCTGCCATCGTTCACCCGTGGCTACTGTTGCGGAAGGTCCCAGTCAAGCCTGAATACCTCTCAAACCATGCAGTGAGACTTCACTTCAACCACACCACCACTACATTTGGCAAGGGCATCCAGCTGGCAAGGCATCCACTGCGCGACTGGCATGGCTTTGCAACCTTCCCGGACCCCGAGGCCAAGACGTTCTCAAGCCTCGTTTCCAAAGCCGGGGACTGGACCACAGCCTGTATCAACGATCAACCCACTCACCTCTGGAAGCGAGGTGTCCTGGTCTATGGGTTCGCATACGCAATGAGGGTATTCAAGAGAGTGGTTGTGGTCACGACCGGATCCGGCATCGGGCCGTGCCTTTCATTCTTGGGAGATGACAACCGACCCAAGCTCCGTGTTGTATGGCAGACACGCACTCCTCTGAAGACCTATGGGCAAGGAGTACTCGACTTGGTCTCCAAAATGGATACCGACCCATACATTATCAACACCAGGGATTCTGGTCGTGTTGATATGGTGCCAATCATTCGAAAGCTCTACAAGGAATTCGATGCGGAAGCTGTATGCGTGATCAGCAATCCTTTCGTGACGAAGAAAGTGGTATTCGAGCTCGAGTCCGGGGGCATTCCTGCTTTCGGCCCTATATTCGATTCATGATTTCTGTCTACAGATGTTGTTTTCTTGTTTTATTTATTCGTCGGAGTTGTAAAAGCTCGAGTTTTGACACAGTCTGGAACTGTATTATCTGTACATAGCATTCTTCTGCCTCACGTATGTTAGATCTCTTTGGCAACATGATTTTCTTTGAGTATTTCTATATCTGATCATAAATGTAAAAGCATGATTCGTAGGTCTTCAGAGTCTATCACCTCCAAGCACACAAATCCCCCAATGAGCCATCTACCCTATCCATCTTGTAGTCAAGTCACCATACCAACTTTTTCAACAGAACACCCCATCCAATTTACCAGAAGACCCAACACTAGACCTTCCAAATACAACACTTCAACCAAACACAGTGAAAACCCAGGTAAGAAAAAAAACCAACTCATGACCCAAACCACTAATCCAAGCCCCCCCCAGCCCAGCTACCATGAATCCACGCATACAACATATGCCTAAAGCAACCCCCCTGCCCACCGTCCCACGAACAAAAAAAATCCCGATCCATCATATTCCTCCGAGCATCGAAGTACTATGTAGTAGAAACAAGAATCTGAAACCAAACAAAGGAAGGTAATCCGAAAAAGCTTCAATGCCGCAAACGGCCCGATGCCAAACAATGACATGACGAAAGCGGCGGGATCGCGCTACAGTACCACCTCGGAATATTGTAGCATTTTTTATGATTACGTGTATGCCTGGAGTACGGCCATGGTTGGTTGATTGGTATATGGATTTGCTTTGCGTGTTGTACGCATCGTCCCAAGGATGGTGGTAACTTATTGAGTACGTACCGATATTTAGGGAATGGTGGTCCCATGGTGTACTGGGAAGGGATGCGTGGATGGGCTGGTTGATGTTTGCTTTTGGTCATGTCACTAAGCTTGTTTTAACCTTGTTCAATGTATTGGTCTATGTATCAGTCTATGTGTAAGGAAAGGAAGACAGTAAGATTGGAATGGAGTTTGAATTATTGTGTTGGTTTGTTGTAATTATTAGTTAACCACTGGGTATGCGTATCATCTTGAAAAAAAAAAGGGAAAAAACCATCAGGTATCCATCGGTATAATATAAAAACGATTAACAAGGCCAAAACCCTCAGCAGATGATGGGTATCATGGAAAAGGATATCTTCGTCCAGCCTGTAAAGAAACAAACAAAAAAAGATACAAAAGAAAAACTTTTTTTTCAGCCCTGGTATTTCCCCAATTATGTTCTCTAAGAAAAACAAAACAACAATGTTGATTAAGTGTCCGTTGTTCATGGTAATGTTGAAAGAAATTTGGTATTGGTTTCTCTGAGCTCAGGTTGAGGTCATTCGGTCATGAGGAATCGTAACGTCGTGAGTAAAAGAAAGAAAGGAGAGAAAGAGCTAGTCTGCTCATATTCGTGTTGTAGAAGTTACTCAGATGCCCGAGAGGCTCGCGAATCGGCAGACGGGGCTCGATTGCGGGTTTGAAGTGTCACAGGTTCGGCGGTGAGATCGTCGGTGGTGAATCGAGATCGTCCGCGTGTTGAGAGAATTGAGCGAGCCGAAGAGTGAGTAGAGTCGCTGTCCAGCCGAAGCGAGTCCATGCGTTCCAATTCTTCGTACTCTGGCAGCGGGAGCGGAGAGCCGTGGTAATCTTCCATGACACTGCTGGCATCGGGTTTTGTGTAGCCGGGGGGACTAGCAGGAACATCCTCATACATCGGAGGCATTTCCTCATCCCAACTGATGCCGAGACCGCTGCGTTCAGTGACATGCAAGTGGAACTGCATACGGACACACGCGCTGCGCCCGTAGGCGTGATGAGTCTGGTGTTGCGGTTAGGGCAGAATTCCTCGGCGACGATCAACTCGATAACGAGGTTGTGCTTGGCTTCCAATCCACCGGAGGCCTCGAGATCGCACACTGGGTTGCAGGTGGGGTTGATGCTTGCCTCGAACTGCATGCTAATCTCGCCTCCGGCAGTATCGAAGTCCGTCTTCCAGCCCTCCTTCTCTTCGTTATGTCCGATGATTCGAGTTTCCTGGTGGAGGACGCCCTTGCCCTCACCGCCAATCTTGTGCGCGTGTTTACCACAGGCCGTGGAAACGATCTTCTGGTGTTCTTCAATACGCCACATCATCTTGCGCAAGCGCCAGCGGGTTTGGGTCTCCTCGCCCTTGTCCACGACTCCGCTCAGAGTCATCTGGACGGGGAACGTGCCGATGGGATGAACGACGGAGGGAAGCACAATGCGGCCCGTGAGGTTAGTTGGAGGGAAGATACGGATTGAGGATTTGTCGTTTCCGGGTAGGATAGCGCGCTTGATGTGCAAAGGCATCTGGAAATTGTATTCTTCGCCGGTAACGTTTTGCGCATGGGCAGAGAGGTAGTACTCAATCTTTCCCAGGGATCCATTGCAGGAAGCGGGCAAATGACCAGGGAAGAGGTAGCTAAAAGGGAATTCGTGGTCGCCAGGCTTCAAGTGAAGCGGCTCTGTCAAGAAGTTCCAGTGGCTTAACTCCTCAGTTCTAGAGGCGCAGTTCGGGCATTCTCTCGAGACTGGTTTCTTCGTTGTCATTCTGGTCATCAATCTCATGTCAAACTTATCGAGAGTAATGGAGTCAACCATTTCCGAGACGGTGATCTTCAAACGGCCGGAGAATAGCGCACCAGTCGAGTTAGCGGGGCTGCCGTAACAGACAAGCGGTGGTGATTCAACGACAACGTCCAACTTGGCAGTAGCACTAACGCCATGGTCGCCTGGACGCTCCTTTGAACGGGACGAACGCCCATGACTGCGGCGTTTCTCTTTGCTGTGATCCCTGTGAGGGTGGATTAAATGATCGACCGCGAAAGACAAACGGCGCTCTGGAGAGCGTGCTCGTTCAAGCACATTTGCGGAAGGCTTCTTGTGGGCCACTGTGTTGGTGGGGATCTCATTAACAGAAGTAGATGAAGAAGAGGTGGAATGAGACGAGAAGGAGGTGTGGTGGTGCACGTGGGGGCGAACAAGGCTGGAAAGGAGGCGGCCGGGCATGTTGATTGATGTCCACTTCTAGGGATCCGGTGCCGACCAAATAGATGCAAATCAAGAGGAAGATATAAGGGTGGCTTCTCGGTTTAAGAGAGCAGTATGGTCTTGGGAGTAATAGGTGACTATGGTGCAATCGGAAACAGTAATTGCGAGGTGTACTCGACTAACACTTCAGTATGCCTGTCTGATTTCAGGATACAGTGCGGTGTTGTATAAGTTGAGATGTGAGGCAGACAACCCAGAACATAATCCTTTGGCAATTTATGAAGCCAGAATGACGGAGATATGGAGGAATGCTAGACTCGGGTCAGGTGAATCGATAATGAGGTTCTAGTACTATGATATGAAATCGGTTCCTGGTCCGAGTGAAGGTTGGATGAGAACAAAGTGTTAATGTTCTTCAGGTACAGTTCCAGATGAGAGGAATCAGAAAGTAGAAAGTGGGCGAACCGCTGGCTTTGAATGACTTCGGACAAGCTTTTCTTGTTAGTCCCAAACTTCTTCCATATATACCATTGTTCCCTTTCTTACCCAAAATCGAATTTTTTCCTTTTTTTTTTTTTTTTTTTAGTTGATTCTAGGAGGTTCCCACACCATTTACAAGGTACCAATTATTGCCGGTCTGGCCACCCTAAAGCTCCGTCACTTCGATGGGGTCCAAGTGGGGCGCGGCAGAAAAGCGTCATTGTGGATCTTACCATACGGTTACCATACATTTCAATACGGCGGACGGAGTACCCTCGGTGCAAAAATAGCAGAGGATGGAAGGGCCTTCGCTTGCTCATTGCGTAGAAATTTCCCTAAGGGGGTATTAATAGTCGAATTTCAGCAGTATTGCTGTTGTCCACAAGGTAGGCCTTTATTGGCAGCTCGCGTATTGAAATTACATCAGTCTTAACCATATACCTTATTCTAGAATAAGGTGGATTTTAGAAAGTTCACTGGATATACTCGACTGTCTTCAATCCCCAGATTCTAGAAACAGATCACGCAATCTCATGAAGAATAGTTACGCAAGATCGGGGATCAATGATCTGACAAGTCCGGTTACACTGCTCTCATTTTCCCTCTAAAAAAGCGAGCCGGAGCAAGACCCCGACAACGACAACAACAACAAAGACTATGAGCATGTGAGGCCGACCGAGTGTTTGTTCCGCGGAGTCTAGTCCACTCCGGCAGGGTAGTATGTCGCAAGCACTTGCAGCTTTTACCTCTTCGCGCTCACATCATTTGACAACATACCGTAAAGGAATGACAAAGACTACACTAATGTACAATGGATATAAAGATGTTCAACACATGACGCTGCAGGATGCATCCCTCAAAGCCCGTGCGCAGTGACTCACCTGAAGATTGGGGATCTATAGTTGTCAATCCCCGGGACCGTCAAACCCTACCGGACTTGGATGTGATTCCCAGAAAGCATGCGCAATCGGCATCCCTACCCCATACCTCGACTGTACTGGATGTACACGACGCGCTTTGACGGGTGGGGTTCGGCCGATTAAAAACTCCTGACCATTCTTGAAGGTGTACCGAACTAACAAAGGCCAAACTTGTAGACAATGCTGTCATGTCTCGTAGTCTCCAAGTCTTCCAACCAAGGGTCGGCGTGCTGACTCATGTTCTAGACAGACTACAAGTTCGTCATTGCAAAAGCTCATTGGCTTGTTCCATACTTAGAAGATTGTAAGACACAAAGTGCCACGACAACCACCAAATCGATCGAATTCTGGATCCATTGTCCAGCAATTTCCAGCAACAGCAATTGAACAAAGAGAGACAGGCTGAGACAAGATAATTTGGGGTCCATGAACAAATCACTGGCCATCACTCATACAACGAAACAAACATACGATTGAGTCAGCAGGCGGTCCGGTTACCCGTTGCGCCTGATTCCCAGGGCGGCGCTGTTTTGGCCCTTTTTGGCAGGTCAGCTGCCGTCATCGAACCATCACGTGGCGTCATAAAAAGATCTGAGGCCCGGCGCCCTTAGGCGGTCTGGCGTAAGTCTTGCTCATACAACCGGTGACCGGCACCGGTACGCGGGTATACAGTACAATACGGCAAGCGGTTATGGCGCTAGTTGGAGATCCTCTGGAACTGTGATGCCGCTTTTCCGTTTTTTGCAAGATGGAGGGGCACAGTACCACCTGGAAGCTGACACTAAAACCCACCGAACCGGAAGCACGCCGTTCGGGAAAAGGGACCGGTCAGAAAAGATTTTTTTTTTCTATACAAGATTTTATATTTTTATTTTATTTTGTTTAAATTAGGTAGGCTCATGCGGTTGCAACATGGTCGGGCCCCACTACTAGCGGGAGAAAAAGAAAAAGAAAAAAATCTTTCTAAGACTCATCAAAGTTCATACCCCTTCTCTTTCCACGGGTAAAGAATACCAGTTTCCGGAGGATATCCTCAGGTCCCAGGAGGACCTTGGACTTCGTCTCGAGATTGGGGTTTTTGTTTGATAGTGGTCAGAGCGCAGGTCTCCTTGTGATTGCCCATACCTGGGCAAGCCTTAGCATGTTGTGCCCTACAGGATCGGCGGTAGAAGGCACAATTTCGGAAAATTCCAGGACGCTCAGCTGCCCCTCGTTGGTCCGAATTTCTTTTTCATTTCCCCCCGCACTGCAGGAAATTGAGCGTTTGCGGGGCATTGCATCATCGCTTGCTGGTGGTTTTCGCAATGGTTCTTGGCTGGTGAATCATAAGATGCGAGATAATGGGGGGATGGATTGTGGTCAATTCGTAGTTAGATAGCGGTCTGAAGAAGAAAGAAGATATTTACGAGGATCAGTTGATGTGCAACACATCACAACACTCGATATAGTTCTAGACGCAACCTTGCTGTCAGGGAGTGTGCCCTGTGCGTTGGTGGTCAACAGGGGAAAAGCACGTTTTCTGACGAATGGCCACCGCCTGCGCCATATTTATTACCTAACAGTTTCACCACCGCCACCGCCCATTGGAAGTCCTCGTCCGTGACTAAGGGACCTTATGCGCTTGGATTGATGATCAATCTGAAGATCTAAGACGACATCATGTCTTGTTTCGCCATGTCTGTTGGTCGGTCCCCCGATGTGAGAGTTTCGGCACGAGTATGCTGGCGGATGGCCGATTCGATCATGCCATGAGAGACCGGATGCCCATACGGCAACTATCTCGAGCTTTCCGACAGACCCAGTTCTCCCCGTACGGAGTACCTGATGTTAATTTAAGTATATCTGGAGATTCACTATTCATACCATAGGAGGGGAATGGGTCGTTTCAACGACCCTATTGGTTTCTGCCAAGGGTCTCGTCCTATCATTCTATACCTCTTTTATGGCTCTTAGATATAGTAACAAGAGCTAATTGTCGGTATAGGCCATTGGGCCCCTCCATACACGAGCACTGACTCGAGCGGCGCGTAATTGTTGGTTTCGGGTAGCCTTGGCAGTTATAAATCCACTTCCAACTGGGTTTGATTCCTGGTTTACATATGGGGATCTACTCCGGCGTAATCTCATATTTTCAGAATCTTACGCCAATCCCCGACCCAATACCCTGCGTACTCCATATGGGACTGAGGAAGAAAAATAAAATCCCCTCCAGCCTGGACTCTGTAGACAGCGTCAAATTGAGGGATTAATCTGCAGGACTTGAACACGTATTCACAATTGCGGTATTTATTGTGTACTAACACCATGCGGAGTACACCTGCTATATCAGATGCGGATGTATCTCCAGGGGCCATTGCATGTAGATCGCCGCTCGTCGTTAAAGGTTCCTTGCAAGTAAAGGACATAAAATTTCCGAGGGCGACACATGGTTGATCCATCGGCGCTTTCCGCTGGAAAGCGAAACCTTGTTTTCGACGCCGTACTCCGTTTCCACGGACTATTCCCGGCCTTCTTCGACGGTTAGCGTAGGGCGCTCCGTTTCCATATTTCCTGTGTCACTAGCGCCTCAGAGTTTTCTCTCCCCTGATCAGATCGGGTTGGCATAGTGGTCGGGCGCGCCACGCTGATTGGTTGAACAATCTACTCTGTACGCCTCTCGAAGAACATTTCGGCTCGTACCGATGGGTTGTTCAACTACCACCTCCCTCGCCTGGTTAGATACTATGTAGCCCGACTCTTGCGGCTTAGTTGGTGGAGTGTACGGGCGTGAGAAGTGAACTGGTATTGAAGTGACAGTTACGGACCTGTGTACGGAGTACGCACCGCCCTTTTTCAGGGCTTTTCAGGGGATTTCAAATTGCGCCATCTGTTGCTTGGATTTATTACCTAATATGACTAACAGGCGGTATGGCAACAATGCCTCGTAGTTTGTGTAGATACCTAAGGCGAAAAAGGCCCTCAATCTATCGGAGTCTCCTACCTTGGCAGTTGTAACGTGCCATGCTTGTCAGCCACCTGCTAATTCAGGTGTCGACGATCAGATTATCGTTGGCGTTGTCTCTGCCGGATTGCTGTCCCGACATATATACCACTAGCCGGATACCACTTCCGATGTCGCACGATCCGGGATATCATTTCCTGTTACACTTCATCTATCCTGTTCTAGATGTACTACGATGCATCTTGACATGACTCACCTACGGGATACCTCTCCGACCTTAGGTATTCATCGGGCCACGAGTCTAGTTCATGTGTTGTAGATGCCAATTCCCAACATACTCCGATATATGTACTACTGCCGCGTCACTAAGATGACGTTCTCCGCTGCGAACGATACAGGTATATTGGCTTGGCGTACATACATGCAATTGACCATGAACAATGCAGCTCCGCTTGACCCCTTACAGAGCTGGATGTTGACAAAGCTCCCGTGTATCAGGACAACTATTGATCATGCAAGTCATGGTCAATGTGCTCGGCCGAGTCAATCAAATACTTGATGTTGCCGAGGCTCTTCAAGTGGCGTTGCGGCGGCTCTACGTCGCCTATACTTCTGATCTAATGATGGTTGGCTACAAGCGCCGAAGCTTAATGCATGTCTATACCGATGGATACTACTACTAGTAGTACTACCACCCTACCCTTCCCACATGGCAGACTCGGCGGAATCGCCGCATTCTGATCCACCGGCGGAGTCACATCTAGACAAGCACAATTGTAAACATCCGTTTTGACTGATATTGTCATGTGTTGTTGATGTTGTAGAACTGCGTGGAGTATTTTATCTTGTCATAACAATTTGACCATCCAGAGAGTTGATCTATTGATTTATGTAGCTAGTGATCCAGACAGTTTCGTTTTCATACTCTTGGTCATGGTTTTTGACAGCATTTGCACGCACGTCTCTATATATTTGATTAAACAGTAGGGATCAAGAATATACTAATCACGTTACTTGGACAAATATCTTCACTTCCCGTGCAACTTCAAAATTGCAATATACCAAAAAACATACACACTTAATAAAACTAGTCAAGCAATGGAAGTGACAACTGGAAATATCTAGATGCTCACTATATTGCGTGACAATGGAGCACTCGACCGTTAATTTCTCTCAACCGGCGCAATTGCCTCCGGATATCCAACCCAGTCAAATGTTCCTGACGACTTGGTCAACCACACATCTCCTGGGCTATAAGCGCCTTGAGGGGTGCTATCCCCAAATAACGTTCCGCTGAGGAAAGTATGCGGGAATCCAGGGTCAAACGTATATGCCGATTCGATCCTCTCAATCTCCTCAGTTGTCAACGTAATTCCAACAGCCGGTGTCACTCCCTTGATGTGCTCAACTTTCCTAGCACCGACGATGGGAAACACATAGGGTGTTTTCTGAAGAACGTAAGCCAGAGCGACTTGCAGAAGCTCTACTCCTTTCGCATTGGCGACATTTTCAAGCACACGGGAAACCTTCTTATCGTGCTCAGACAAAGGGATGAAATTCCGACCGTCGTTCCTCTTCTCGCGTTCTTTAAATCCCTCCTCAGTTTGAAAGCGACCTTGATTCAGCACTCCATACGGACACAAGCCCATTCCTTCATCGCGGCACATGGGTATGATATCTCGTTCAAAATCACGCATAGCTGCATTCCACATCCCCTGGTACACGGTGAATTGTCGCAGGCCATGGTCACGAGCGTACTGGTTGGCTTTCGCGACCACCCAAGCGGGTGTATCAGAGACACCCAGGTACAAGACCTTCCCAGAGACAACAAGATCATTCAGGCTGTGCATCAACTCCGGGATCGAAACCGTGTAGTCCCACCAGTGCACGTAGAACAAGTCGATATAGGTTGTCTGAAGTTTGTGCAGCGACGCCTCGAGCGAGACACGCATTGACTTGGTTCCATTCCCACCATAGTTGGCTTGGATTTTGTCCTTGTGATGACCTTGCCAAGCGGTGGTGTATTTGGTTGCAATAACCATCTGGTCCCTGTTTTGCCTGGCGGCAATCCATTCACCCAGCCAGATCTCGGATTGCTCTTCTCGGTATGCGTTAGCAGTATCGATGAAGTTCCCGCCCTGACTGACGAAATAGTCGAGGATCTCAAAGGCGGCGTCCTTGCTGCATTCTCCGTATCGCTCTTTTCCTGCCGTGCCAAAGGTCATGGCACCTAAGCATAGCGGAGATACTCTGACGGAAGCTGAGGGGGCGAGCTGTCGGTAGCGAGCGAGAAGTGGCTGGGAAGACATGACAAAGTGATAGGTTCTTCTTGGATAAACGGTTGTGTAGGTTGAAGTAACCAACTACTGATGTATAGCTAATATATATGGTCTTGAGGCAGGCACAGGCACATGCGGAGTGATATCATGTACGAGGTTTTAATGGCCTATGCCCGTTAACTCCGCCGGAAAAACCATCAATCCAACTCCAGATAATCTATATGATCGTTTGATGATATTCAAAAAGTAGGTTTCCATTTAGTTACTGCTACTGAAAGAATTTATTAGGGCTTCAGATCGCGGTACTACTAGTATGCAAGCCGCTGACGATTCTCCACTACGGACCGCCGGGGATAACGGGATTAACAAGGCTATGATGAGATTGGATATGAAGTCCAATTTATTAAATTGGCATAGTTCCGACATAGCCCTTCCACCATTCAGTACCAAAGAGAAAGCAAAAAAAAAAAAAAAAAGAGAGAGAAGAGAGAGAAGTAAAGAAAGG